TAAAATAAATTTGCAACATTTTAGCGAAACTTCAAACTTTGTAGATGGTTTTGTTTCGGAGAAATGTTAATCATAAGTTTATATGAGGGCTGTATGATCAATTTTGTTACACACTGTAAATAAGTTTCACGACTTTTTCTGGCTCCCCTCGAGGGATTCATTTACAATTGTATTCTAATTTGACGGTGAATAGAACAACTAAGCGAATATGTGCATTACTCAGGTCTTTCGCTAGTTTTAGACTCGAGGTTCTTCTAATAAAAACTTTAGATGAAAGGTTCTCAATGGATGACCTTTTTTTTGAACTCCTCTGCAATGTAATCTTTAGCTGATGTGATCTTTGGCTGCAATGTAATCTTTAACTTCCTAAAATTGATTACGTAATATATGGCTTAAACCGTAGAAACTTTTCAGACTTAGATGCATTTGTATCTGCCCTATGAGTGGTAGATGAATAGGTAGATCTTGTCTTTTAGTCAGATCTACCTGACAGATTCACAATACAAAGTCTAACTGGAATTTTATTGATCTACTTACTACAAATCTTTCAACTCTATTGTTTTAATGTACGAATATTTTTTTCGTTATTATAGATTGAAAAACCAAAGACGCTTTATCATGACTGACAAAAACACGAACGCTTCAACAACTACGACCTCTGTAAGTACTTCAAGCACAGAAAACATTAAATCATTAACAACAACAAATGACTTCGATAATTTTCTGTCTTCATCATTGGTCGCCAACAAATTATTACTTGTTCATATTGAATTAGAAAATAATGAAGTTTGTAAAACATTAAATGATGCGCTATTAAGTCTAATTCGTGAACCAGAATTTATGCATCAATTGCAATTATGTCGTGTAAATGCTGATCATGAAGTTTATGATCTTTTAAATCGGTATAATGTTACATCGGCACCAACGATATTATTAATTCATAAAAAACAATTAATTGATCGTGTTGATGGCTTTAATCAAAGTGAATTAATTAAAAAAGTTAAATTACATTTGAACACAATTGGGATTGTTAATACAACAACAACCGATCAACAGCAATCAACACAATTAACAAAAGATACAGAACAACGTATTCAACAATTATTAAATCGATCACCAATAATTTTATTCATGAAAGGTACGCCAACAAATCCTCAGTGTGGTTTTAGTCGACAGGCCTGTCATATATTGGATGAAAATAATATTAAATTTGATTATTTCGATATATTATCTGATACAAATTTACGTGAACAATTAAAAAAATATTCAAATTGGCCAACATATCCACAGGTAAAATTATTGAATAGTCACTTTTACAATTTTTACGTTTTATTGAGTAGTTCGAATGAATGCATGCCATTAGTAAGATAAAAAGACTATAGAATACCTATGATTATTGTTAATCTATAGAAATCTGATTGATGTATATTTGTATGTATAGTTATATATGAATGGTGAACTGCTTGGCGGCCTTGACATTATGAAACAAATGATCGAAACCGGTGATTTTCAAACAAAAGTTAAATTACAGAAAACCGAAGAATTAATAACAGATTCAAATAAACAATTAGAAAGATTAATCAATCAAGCACCTGTCATGTTGTTTATTAAAGGTACAAAAGAGCAGCCACAATGGTATGTTAATATAATTTTTCTTCTTGTTTGACTAACACAACGAGTTTTCTTCTCATTTTTAGCGGTTTTACAAAAGAATTATTTGAAATATTATCCCGTTCAAATATTACTAACTTTAAAACATTCAATATTTTAGAGAATGAAGATGTTCGTCAAAATCTTAAAACATATTCTAAGTGGCCAACGTATCCTCAAGTTTATGTTAATGGGGAGTTCATCGGTGGTCTTGATATTATAAAACAATTGAATGAACTAGGAACATTAAATGAAACATTGAATAGTATCGGACAGCCAGTTTGAAAATGAAACAACGATAAACAAATTATTTACCATAATTGTTTCAATGTCAAAAACAGAAGGAGACTTATTTTTAATTGTGGAAGTTTTTTGCCCTTTGTATTGGTGCTAATAAACAGGTTTTTTTTTTCTTTTTTTAACCAAGCATATCGTTCGAACAAAATGTTTGGTTTATTCAGTGATCTTTTTGTGTTAACTTTTCATTGCCAAATCACAGTCATACAGCAGTGATGGTAGTTTCCTGTTTGGTGAGAGTAGTATGGGATATAGATATTGCTACAATATAAAATCTACTTCTGATAAATCATTCCTTGTTGTATTATTTTGATGTGTTCGCGCAGCTAAGAAGCAATGCTTGAACTTCATTTTTCTATTCAGTTGTGTTAAATGTGCCTCTTCATGTAAGTTTATGTTGTTATTTTGTTTGTAATCGAACAAGGGTTCTTTTCGCGTGTGTTTGTAGAGGTACGCATCGTATCGTATTTTGTATTTCATCTGTCTTTGTTACCAGTAAAAACTTCGTCTCTATCTCTCTTTTTTTTTAATTCGGAACTTTGCTGTACAAGAGTGGGCAACTAAATAAACTTTAAATATCGTATTTTACGGCTATTAGAAAAGTCAAGAATGATATACTAACAAGGTTAATTTAAAAAGTTTCACATACTAGAAATTACTGTGAAATAAAATCGCTTTTCTTTTTTTTAGATTCAACCTAGCTTCCTTTTTTTAAACATCATGGCCCAACAATGGTAGGCAGTTTTATATTCATTACCAGAACGGACCACTCCTACAATCTTTTGTCTTCCTCTGCTTTTGTCTAGGGCTGGCTCCTCCCTAAAAGCATTTTTCGACTTTCCAGCAAAATCTCTGACGTTTTTCTGCAAGCAACTTTCTGGCAAAAAAAAGCATTTTTTCGCCAGCCACTTTCTGCAAAGAAAATTTTTTAGCCCCGCTCATCCCTGAGAATAATCGGAAACCCTGATAGAGTAAAGTGTCTACACAAGAATTAGGGTCCTACAGCCTCTCAGGAGACCGGAAATTGTACAGAAAGTTGGAAACTGTACAAATATGTACAGCTGATTTAAAGGCACTAACCGCAAGAATTAATAAGCCATTTTGTAGAAAATTAAATTCTGCATCTAAGGACATGTTACTCAACTTTTTTTCGAACAATTTCTTGGTTAAGAAATTGAAAATACGGTTTTTGAAAATCTTAAAACCCGATTTATAGCGTCAAAATCCAACTTTTACGAAAAATAAATTTTAGATCGTGATTAGCGTCGAAAACTGCATCTAGTCATGTATTCAGATCTATCGAGTTCGAAAATTATTTTTCAAAATACTTAATCACGCGTTACGTGAACAAGCTGTAAAGATTTTTCTACAAAATGAGATGTCTCTGAGCTCTCCACCATGTTTTCCGATAGAGTTATGATCATTTTGCTGGAAGCCTTTGAAAGGCACGTTTGTGATATAACGTCCAAAATGATGATAACTCTATCGGAAAACATGGTGGAGAGCTCAGAGACATCTCATTTTGTAGAAAAATCTTTACAGTAGAGTCGTATCAAATAAGGAATATCTCT